TAAAAATTTTATAAAAAATAGGAAATGATCAGACATAGTAATTAACGTAATTTATTTCACAAATTTATTAACACTAATTATGTAATTAATTTTCTTAAAAGAAAATTAGCATAATTTTTTTAATTAAATCCTAATGTGATTTGTCTATCAACAATCTGCCTTGTGCAGATGACACAACCTTGCTTGCTGAAACTGAGGAGGACCTGAAGTGCTTGCTGCAGAGGGTCAAGGACTGCAGGCTTCAGTATGGACTGAGGCTCAATGTCAAGAAGACAAAGATTCTCACCACTGGACCAATTGGTAGCATAAGGATGAATGGTGAAGAGATTGAGATTGTTCACAGCTTAGTCTGCTTAGCTCCACAATCAACACTCTTGGCACCAGCAACTAGGAAATTAAAAGACGTATTGCCATGGGAAAGTCTGCTGTTAGGGACCTGTCTAAAGTACTCAAGAGCAACAGTGTCTCTCTGGAGACTAATGGTCTTTGCAATCACTTGTTATGCATCAGAGAGTTAGACAATGACTCAGGAGGATAGAAGGAGAACTGATGCCTTTGAGCTTTGGTGTGGGAGAAGAGTACTGAGGGTACCATGAACTGCTAAGAAAACAAACAGATTCATCCTGGAGATGGTTAAAATGGGCTGCTCCTTGGAGGCAAGGATTTTGAGGCTTCGTCTGACATACTTTGGTCATGTTGTAAGGAGGGACCGGTCATTGGAGAGGGACATCATGCTTGGGAGGGTGACGGGACAGCACAGGAGGGGAAGGCCCTCTAGGAGATGGATTGATAAGGTGACTGGGGTAGTCGGGATGAGTGTGTTGGAGACAATGAGATTGGCACAGGACAGAACAGAGTTTAGGGCTGTTGTACATAAGGTCACTATGAGTCGCAAGTGACTCGACAGAACATAACAACAACAATGTGATTTGTAAATTTTCAGTCAAATCTCAGTTAAGAAATTAAAAATTTTAAAATTAAATAAAAAAATAAAAATTCCATGATGGCAAAAAGAGAATCTTAAGGAACAGAGTTCTACACTGGTACTTGGGAGTCACCCAGTGTTGGAAATGTCTACGTGATAGTTGGTCATCATTCAAATGAATGTTATATAGAAAATATTAATGTGTTTTTCCAGGTCTCTAAACAGTCAATTTGAACTCTTTAAAGAAGATGTAGGCCCTCAAAAGACTTAGAGACTGTTGAACTTGATGAAGCAAATGAAAGCTGTAAGAAATTAATTCTGCCCCAAACCATAGAAGCTTGAACAAAATACCTAACTAAGCTTCAGGTGGACACAAAGCCCTGGTCAACATCTTTGCCAGTTGTAACCTTGTGAGATCTTGAGAAAAGGACCCAGTTAGAATGTGCTTGAACTCACTCCTGACACACATGGAAACAGTGCAAAACTACAGGTAGTGTATTAAACCACCAAGTCTGTGAGTGGTCTAGTGGTCTAATGGTAAGAACCCATACTGCCAACCCAAAGGCAAATGGTCGAAATCCATCAGCTGCTCTGTGAAAGAAAGATGGTCAGTAGCCTCCTGTGTGATTTACGTCTTCTGAAACCTCACTGGAGGGTCAACTATAGGTTAGTTATAACTCAACGGTAAACAATATCAAGAAGTCTGTGAAGATTTGTTCTAGTAGCGTAGGAAGTTTATAGAGATGGAGAAAGAAGCACAGGAATGAAGGATAATTAGATAAAGGCTAATTATTATGAAAAATTAAAGAGCATATAAGCTGACTAAGGAAGAAAGTGAGAACATGGGGAGGGTGAAACATAGTGAAAGGGTAGTAGGATAAATGGATTTATTCTTTAAATATTTGTTGAGTGTTTACAATGTGTTAGATTCATACTTTGTTGAATGGTTACAATTTCCTTGTACCAGACCTAGAAAAAACACCAAAGGAAATAGTGGTGTCTGCTCCAGGTTTTCCTTCTGCTTAGCTGCTAAGTAGAAGGGTGTTCAAACTCATCTAGACTCCTGAAGAGAGTTTATTATCATTCCTGGTGATCTGCATCTATAAACATTACAGCCAAGGAAACTCTACTAAACAATTCTATTCTGTATCACATGGCATCACCATGAGTTAGACCAGCTGCACACACAACTTTGCTCCTGCTAGGACTAGAAGAGCCATTTAAACATGATTATGATTATGATTATGATTATGATTATGATTATGATTATGATTATGATTATGATTATGGCAGCTCTCACTAGCTGCAACAGCAGGACTTAAGTGGCTGTGGAATTTCTTGCAATGCATTGTGACTTAGAACCACAAAAGACAGAAAGGATCCTCAGAAAGGCAAGTTCCATGGCACTGACCAAGATTTAAAAGGTTGTTAAGGTGCGCCTGATCCGGGCTATAGTCTTTGCAATTATATGCTATGAATCAGAGAGTTGGACAGTGAATAGGGATGATAGAAAGAGAATTGATGCCTTTGAGCTGTGGTGTTGGAGAAGAGTGTTGTATATATCATCGACTGCTAGGAGAACAAACCGATTTGTCCTGGAAAAGATGAAGCCAGAATGCTCCTTGGAGTCAAGGATTCTGAAGCTTCATCTGACATACTTTGGGCATGTTGCAAGGAGAGACTGGTCCTTGGAGAGGGACATCATGTTTGGGAGAGTGGAGGGACAGTGCAGGAGAGAAAGACCCTAGACGAGACAGATCGATTCTGTGAGTGGAGTGGTGGGAATGAGTGTGTTTGAGATGGCGAGGTTGGCACAGGATAGAACGGCGTTTATGGCTCTTGTACATAGGGTCGCTATGAGTTGCAAGAAATTCGATGGCACAAAACAACAACAAGAAGAAGCCTTCCTGAAGAATTCCATGCTCAAATCCTAAAACCATAAGAAAATGATTCTCCAATGACTGACATTTGTTGTAAACTCCAGCAGGGGAATCATTCTTTGCAAAAACCCTAAGACTACAGTATTGAGGGTGATTCCAAGGAAACACTCTAATGTAGAGACCCAGGGAGAGAAATAAGTCATCAGATGGAGCTAGAGAATCAAGAGACCATTCATAGATTTAGGGAGAAAAAGGGTGAAGAATAAGGTTGTTATTTATGTAGAGGGTAAAACAGGCTTAACTCCACTGTACTTTAGAGGGTAGGAAGAGGGAGCTAACACCCTTAATTAAAGGATCAGGGTTCCAGGTGATCCAAATGGCACTAAACTCAAAGAAATTCTCTTAAGTTGAAATTAATTACAAACTCCATTGTGCACTTGTTTTCCTTTTTCAGCCTGGGTTTCCTCATGCACAGTTTGACAACACTGCAATTATCGTCAATTATCTTAAGCAGCATCAGAATTTTCAAAACAAAATTATATTTATTTCAAATAGCAAAGCTATTCATTCAATTACTGCCCTTATGAGAAAGAGTTGAGGGTGACAAATGATATAGAAATCAAACAAACAGAGGATGTCAAAACACCAGCAAGGTTAGAAACCGTTTGCCCAAACCTTTTAGTTAATAAGTACATAATGAAGGTTCTTGTCTTACCACTGAATAATTGTTTCTGTAATGTGGGATTTTGTTCCTATTTCATTAGAATGGAATGGGGCAAAGAATGCAGGATAATTTGGTAAACAGAATTTTCCCTAACTATGCCAGAGCATCATCTTTCCTTAAACTTTTGCTGTTGTCTTTCAAAAGATATTGCTTACTCAAATAGGGGAAAGTCAGTTGGAACTTATTTCTCTTACTTCTGTCAAGTCTTCAATATCTATAGAGCCATGATTACTATGGAAATACCAAGAATGAAATAGGGAAGATGGCCTAATGGTGAGGAGTTGCTCTACCAACCCAAAGGTAGGCAGTTCAAATCTACCAGCAACTCTATGGGAAAAAAAAGGAGCAATTTCCTCCCAGGCAATTCATAGCCTCTGAAAATCCACTGGACAATCAGCTCTAAGTCAGTTTTAACTTGAGCACATAGTAACAATAACTTGTTTCCTATACTCATTTACACATCCACAATCTAATTCTCAAAACAACTACAAAAGATAGGAATTAGGGGAGCTCTGGTGGCCTACTGGCAAAGAGCTGCAACTACAATCCCAGAGGTGCACTTCGAATCCACCAGATGCTCTGCTGGGAAAAGGAGGGACAAGCTCCTCCTGTACCAGTCAGATCTGATTTGACGGTACACTCACACACACACACACACACAAAATAAAATAAAATAAATAAAAAAATAAAAATTAAAAAAAGATAGGAATTACCATTTTTGCTAACAAAGCACTGACACAGGAATTTAATTCTTCAAACTATCCAACTTCAAAGTTCTATCCTCCTTCAAAGCTTACACTCTTCAAGTCAAATACATTCCAGTGCAAAGAAGAGATTTCCTGTTGTATGCTTCTTTCATAACTTTAAAATATAAGAAAATAAATCAAATTCAGAATGTTAGTGAATGGTTTTCTAGATTTTTTTCCTTGAGAGCTTTAAAAGTGAAGTCTTTTGTAGATTTTCCAAAACACAGAATCATTCATCCTCATATGTGTTATCTTAAAGTGCAATCCCAAATATGTATTAAAATCCTAATATTTATATTTGTGGGTGTATATATTCATCTTCCATAGTGCAATTTGATGTAGTAATTAGTCAGTCATCTGAGATCATATCCTAATATGGTACATCATCAATCTTATCACCCCGTTTTGTTGCTGTTAGTGCTGCCAAGTCGAGGACAACTCATAGTGACCCTATGAACAGCAAGCCTGACCCTGTCCTATCCTGCCTCATCCTGCTCATATCTAACACAGTTGAGCCCTTTGCTGCAGTCACTTTACTGTGTCAATCCATCTTGTTGGAGTTTTCACTCTGAGTTATATAAAAAGCTGCATAGACAGAGATGGGAGCCACACGGTGGGAGAAGACTGACGCTGTGGAAGAATCAATTACAAGCCAGGGAACCAAGGAATGCTCCAATATAATGACAAGAATGGAATCTACGCTCTTTCACCAAGGACCGGCCAACATGGGCCGCGTTCGCATCAAAACCGTGAAGAAGGCAGCCCAGGTCATCATTGAGAAATACTACACACGCCTGGGTAAAAACTTCCACACGAACAAGCGCGTGTGCGAGGAGATCGCCATTATTCCCAGTAAGAAACTCCAGAACAAGATAGCAGGCTATGTCACACATCTGATGAAGCGGATTCATAGAGGGCCTGTGAGAGGCATCTCCATTAAGCTGCAGGAGCAGGAGAGAGAAAGGAGAGATAATTATGTACCAGAAGTTCATCCCTGGATCAGGAGATCATTGAAGTAGATCCTTGATACTAAGGAAATGCTGAAACTCTTGGACTTTGGCAGTCTGTCCAACCGCCAGGTCACTCAGCCCACAGTTGGGATGAATTTCAAAACACCACGTGGAGCCGTTTGAGTCTGTTTGCTGTGCTGTAATAATTTCAATAAATTTGGGAACACCAGCCTTTCCTTTGTAAAAAAAAAAAAAAGAATGGAATCTACAAGGCTGAGATTCTGACCTGGACTGGTAGTCCATATATTTCAAGAGAATAAATTAATGTTCTTGAAAGCCATTCCCTTGAAGTTATCCCTGTAATATTTCTGTTATAGCAGTATTGTTGTTGTATGCCATGGAGTCAGAACTAAATCATAGCTGACCCTCCAGCGCGTTTTCAGAGGCAGTAAGTCACACAGAAGGAGCTTGCCCAACTTACTACCATGAAGCAGATGGTGGATTTGAATATTTATCTTTGGGATTGCAGCACAGCTTCTCACGACTAGGACACCAGAGCTCCCTAACAAAGGATTTGGGATGTCAGCACTAGGAAACTAAAACATTATATTTCATGTACATTATAGATACTCAGTAAGTACTCAGGGAAAGAAATTGAAATACAAATTTGCAACCTTTTCCGGAGGATGAGATACTACTCATTTCTCTGTAAGATCATATAGAATGTGGTTGAAAGAAGAAAGGATTAATACCAGGTTATGTGCATGTAACTGAATTCCTAAATGAAGCAACAAAGGGATACTCACATCGGCAGAGCTCCATTTGTGATGAAAATGACAGTTGTTATGAAATAGCTGTAGAGTAGTACCCACCAATGCACATATCAAGCACGCAAGGCCCTTTCACCCTTTAAATCAGCAGTGGCTTCTCTTAGCCAATTTGCTCATTAAACATGCATTAAACTCCCTACAATGAGCTAGACTATGCTAAATTCTAGGTGACCTAGTGGTAAAGAGCCATGCTGCCAATGTGAAGGCACACATTTCATCTCTACTAGTTATTCTGTGAGATAAAGATGAGCAGACTCCTCATATATGATTTACTGCCTCTGAAAACTATCTAGAGGGTCAGCTATGAGTTGATTCCAATTCAGTGGAACCTACCAACACCTAACACCAACTAATGATTATTAGGAATTAATCCTTGACCAAAAGAAGGCAAGAGGGTGCAAACAGGAGAAACATATAATAAATGCACTGAAATAAGGGGCCCTGGTGTCACAGTAGGTTTTAAGTGTTGGTCTGTTAATTAAAAGGTTGTTATTTCTGTTGATTGGCATCAAGTTGAGCATGACTCATAGCAAACCTATGAATTAAAGGCCTGAAGCCTTTCTTTAACTGTCATCATTTATCAAAGTTCATAGCATTTCCAGAGGCCTGTTGTTTAGGAAGTGGATGCCACTCGGCTGCTTGTTGGTTAAAGAAGCAATCTGCTCCTGTTAAGATCTGCAGCTTCAGTCCTGATGGAGGTTGCTGTGAATCAGACCCGGCTCAGTCAATCAAATTTGGCATTTTATACATTTCACTCTCTATAGTGGGGCCTTCAAAAGCAAGATGACAAACTCTACTTGATGAAAAGTGGAACTAGAATCAGGAAAGCCTTCAAAAGAAAAGAGGGATATAAAGAAATGCTTATTTTTGCTTTCCAGTCAATATCAACTCATGAAAACCCCGTAGAACAGGTAATAACTGCCTCACAAAGTTTCCTAAACTATATCCTTCATAGAAACAGATTTCTAGTCTCTTCTCCTGAACAGACTCTGATGGGCTTAAATTACCAACCTTTTGGTTGGCAGCTTAGAACTTCCCAAATTTGATGCAAAGGGTAAGAGGTGAAGTGAAGAAAAGGGGATGAATCCAGGTAGAAGTGAAAGATACTGGACTTCCATGTTTTACAAAAATGGAAAACAATTTGGCTTAGTGGCTACTTCTCACTGTGAGAAAACGGCTGCCAGTTAAAATGTGATTCCATTTAACACAACAGACATTTATCAAGTGCCTTCTGCCTCTGTACTTGCTTTGACCTTAGCAGCAGAACACTCTGCCAAATTCTCCATGTTTTGCCTGCTTTGAGACAAGTGCAGAGGGAGAACTTTCTTCGTCAGCAACTTCAATACTGCAGCTTGGTGAAATTTCCATCTTCTATACCTATTTAAGGGATGAATGACACTCCCTGCCTCATTTTTCACCATCCTGTAACAGCTTTCATTTTGTGCCTTCTATTAGCTCCTCCACATCCCATTTCTGCCACATCTCTTCGGCAGAACTTTCCAGTAGCTAATATGTACCTGTCATTTTTCCTATGAGCCAACAGAACTAATTGAGGGAGTGGTGGAAAAACAAGCAGAAATTTGCTCCGTCGTTAAACTGAAACAAAACATAGCATTCTGAGGGGTTTGTATGTGTTTATTTCCTCTGTTAATAAACCTCTGAAATAAGAATGGGAAGCATATGATTAAGAGACAAGTTTGAGTCCTTGAACTTTGTGTGCTTTCTCCGGCTTGCATTTATTTTGGGGCCCATCAACTAATCTGCACAGAAAAGTCCACAACAGGGAAATCCTCTAAGAAAGATGACGTCAGAAGATGATTAAATTTTTACTTATTATACTTTTCCATTTACACGGTAAGCTTACCCAGGGATAAGTATTTTGGAAATACAGCATTTCCAAGTCTAAATGTCAAAAGCAAGTTCAAAAATAGTCCACAGGAGTGTTTCCCTCAAGCAAAGTAAATCTCCCTCCAAGTGCAACATATCAGAAGTGTGCAAAGTCAAAAACAAGGGCAGAAAAGTCTATAATAAATTCCAAAATATTGGCAAGCCTGTAAAAGATTTATGATTGGGCACGTATTATGAGATTCTATTTTCAGCACATTCCTCCCACAGAGTGGGACTTTCTGCTTTTGCAGAGAGCCATACTGAACAGCTATCGCAAAGTAAATAACATGAGCAAAGATTTCCAAAAATAAAAGCATAGTATAAAAACACCAGTCATTTTTGCAAAGTCCAAGATATTTCTTTTTCCATTTACTCACATTTAAGAGTTTTCCTTTCTTTTTTACTCATCTCTCATAATTGTTTATCTAGGAACCAGGTGTTCGCGTCAATGTAGACATCCTCACTGTACAATGGAGTCAGAGGGAGGCTTCCGTATTCCTTCTCAAAACCCATTCATTTCCTATCTGATCAGTCTGGCAAATTTTATGCGTGGAACATCTGCTAACGATGTATCAAGGGCTTCAAGAGAGAGACTGATGTGAAAAATACATGATCCCTTGAGTTATTTGAGGAAAAAAATAACCTAATTTCTGCCTTAAAGGAGTTTTGTGTTCATATGGAGAGACTTAACCCTGATGGCATAAATCAAAAAAGGAAAACCTCAAAAAGATCAATCTAACCTAAATGGGGCATCTAGACTGAACTCTCCCATGGATGAAATGTTTCAGAGATGGGACTCAGACGACATTTGAAGAATAGATGTTCATTGGATAGTTATGCAGCAAAAAAGTCATTTTGCACAGAGGAAGTAACATGAGTATTTAGTAATAGATAGTAAAGAACGTGAAGTTTCAGAGGCTGTCCATCCACTCAGCTCTGAGTCATAAGACCTCATCTCTAACAGAAGGTAGCTGAGCACAATCTGTCCTCGGTACCTACTGTACCTAAGCTTGCTGTGAATGTTGAGAGTTTAATAAAAATGCTTTTATAGCTACAAGAAGTAGAAAACCTCAACATCAGCAGATAATGAAATTTATCACAAGTCAAAAAGGGAACTTCTCTAGAAGTTGTTGTTATGTGCCATCGAGTCATTTGCGATTCATAGTGACGCTATGTACAAGAG